GGAACAATCGCCATGTGAGTATGGGAGCTGAGAAATGGCTTGACATTGAGCTTTGGGACACACCTAATGAATGTTTCGAAGTTTTGAAGTCTCGCGGTTACAGAATCGCCACAACTCATTTGGGAATGGAAACGGTAAACTCAGTAAGATTTATTTTGGTCTGTTTCTTTCTTTACCAAGGCAAAATGAGTGTACTCGTGACACTTATTTGGTGGTAATATCATTATAGGTTTCCATTTACGATATGGACTGGTCATGTCCAACCGCAATAGTTGTTGGAAATGAGGGCAGGTTAATATCTACCATCTCTCAGTTTCAAACTCGTGGGTTCTTTCGTAACATCTTAATGGAGTTGTGTGGGAAATTTGCAGCGGAATAAGCAAAGAAGCGTTGGAGTTATCAGATCTGCATTGCAGTATTCCGATGAACGGAATGGTGGATTCGTTCAATGTCTCAGTGGCTGCAGGGATTCTGATGCACCACGCAGTCTGTGACAGAGCCACTCGTCTGGTAAACAGATCGCTTGACACTGCCACAGAATCTAGTGATCTTAGCTTTCACTTATGTTTTGATTAATGTATTTATGGGGGTTGTTTGAACAGGGAAGTCATGGAGATCTGTCGGAAGAAGAGAAAGAGATATTGATGGCTGAGTTTTCGCTTCGTCACAGTAGAAGCTCACTTTTTATTGCTTCCGAGTTCGCTAAACGTAGACAACAACAATCTACTGCTTCTTTCTAATTCCCCCTGACTTCTTCATTTTGCTTGTCATAAGGCTTTGTATCTTTACATGTCAGGTTTTAATGTGCCCATAATTAGGGCCTTAAAACCGGCATACATTCTCTTGGTTCTATTGGTACCTTGATTGATTGATTGATATGACATTGAGTTTCTCCCTTTCAACTATTGGACTAAGCCTGTTCGGGATACTACGTTCTAGTGAAGCATAGCAAATTGGAAGAGAAGAAGCTCTTTTGGCTATAGTGTCTGCGACACCACTTGCTTCTCTGTTGACATCATTGCAATGAGGTTTGAGTGATCCCCATTGTCCATTGATCTTCTCCGTGAAACTCATCGGCCTTGGACATGATTTTGGATCCCTGATCGCTCGAACCAACAACTTGGAGTCACTTTCAAAGGTGACCTCCTTAAATCCAAGAGTGTTAAATGTCATCATTGCCCAAATAAGAGCTGTAGCTTCTGCCTCTAGACTGGAGAGTAATAGTGGATAAGCTTTTGCCCCGTACCATCTGCCTATTCCCTGAGCCATCTCGCAATATCCTCCTACCTACACCACATTCCCCTGAATCTGAGTTCCAAGAGGCGAGGAGGATGACTCGGTTTGATATTGTGTTCAAACCATTCTCAGCATCAATCGTAGCCTTTGACACCAGCTAGCTGGCTCGGATCCATATGTTGTCCTGTGAAGCAGAGGTTATTCCTGGCCACTTAGAAACTCTACACTCATCGAACTTGTGCTACGAGACATCTCATATCATATATAACAATATTTGCCCCATATAATTTTTTGTATTACACATCGAAATTGAACTTACTTTCCTTATATGAGAAACGTAAGGTGCTTTTTATCTTCATGACATCAAATCAATGAAATGGAAGCAAATCCCTAAGACATAAAATAAACACACTTAAGATAGCAGAATAAGTCAGAATTCTAATAGAATAGAAAGCCTAACAAAAGGATAAATAGATTGGTTCTGTTATCATTTTGTTTGTTTTTAGAAAACATATTTAATCGATTAACATATCACTGCTTGTTGTCTGTATCCTCTCCTTGTTGCTGCTGCTATCTTCTCCACTTGCCCTTCTCTTAGACTGATGCGACCTTACAAACTCATCGATTCTCGCCTTCAACTCAATGTCCGGTATCAACATATCCGATGTCAAATGCGCCCTGTTAAACGGATCGTGCTGTACGCAGAAGCAAGAGAATCAGATTCAAAGCCAAAGAGAGAGATACATAACGGAATCACCAATGTGTTAGATTTTCTTACATTGTCGCTAAGAAGATGACGTTGAATGATTGGACGATCAACTGTGATTCTTGAGCTTGGAAGTATCACTGGATCTCTCATCAATGTGTACTGCAAAATTATAAACAAACAAGAACATACATTAGAGTATGTTATCGAAACAAGCCTTATTAGACAGAAAATACCTGAATTGGGTCAAGGAACTCGTCAGGTATTTCGCCGAGTGCAGCTTCAGCATCCATAGCTTCAGAAGCAGCAGCTTTGGCTTTTGAGCCCAACTCCATAAACTCTTGAATGGTTCTTCCATCTTCGCCTATTCTCCTAAGCACATCTGCTCCTGCATTGAATAGCTGCAGAAACCCCCCCCCCCCCCCCTTGTTTTGTTGAGTAGAGAGACAGATAAATTATGATGAAAGAGGATTCAGGTTTTAGAAGGAGGATTTGACCTGTTCATTATATGATCTTCCATCACTGGATATGGCACCGGGGAATATGTTTTCAGAGTCTCCTCTTGCCAGATTAACATATATGCGAACAATCTTCAAAGTGCACCAAATATATCACAAATATTCAGACAGTTTCTTTTTCACATATTTTGGTGAGGAGGTGAGTAAGAATTGTAATCACTAACCTGTTTAAGCAACTGTCTTGGGCGGAATTCGTACTTCTCGGGATCTTTCAAGCTTAACGATTTACGCTGTGGACCCACGAGTTGTAGCAAGAAGTAATTAAGCATATTCGCAACCCTTTCAACCTGATGAACAACAAACAAACAAACTTTTCAATAGGAACTCGGGTAATCAAATAGAGCAGATTATCGTTTCAGGAATAGGGTCAGGTTTACCATCTCAGGGAGTAGAAAAGGGGCTGTAATCTCCTCCGACGTAAATGCAAGCATGGTCACATCTTCATTAGCCAGCTTCATGTCGATTCTAACAATCTGCAGAGCAAAATACAGTTCTTTAGGGTATCGTAACCGAGTCTGAAACAAGATTTAAGAAGTGATAAACTAACTAACATTCTCCTGAGAATGGAAGAGTCTTGTTCTCTCCTGTCTCTCTTGAGCTGGTCTCTGCTCCCACTCTGCAGTATTCGACATCTCTGCCTCGATTTGTTTAATCTCGAGAATTTTGTTTAGACTTTCATCCAGAAGATAGATACTATCATTGACTAAGAAGTTTAAGAAGTTCAAGTACACGCCCTTCTCTTCCTCTTTTGCAATCTGTAACCCATCAAAATTGGTAATATCATAACATTAAGAACATGATGGTTGAAGTTCCAAAGTCATGATGGTAAGCTCACTAAGAATATACCCGTCTCCATGCATTTCGGTGACTAGGCACCTGCCAGAGATACTCTAGAAGCTCGGCAATGTTGTGACGAATATTGAACTTGTCATAGAACTGCAATTAGATAACTCGATTTCAGTCACATCAAAAGCGACAGCGAGTGGGCATTAAGGCTTCCAAAGTTAAACATGTTATGAAGTACTATGCAATAGAGAGAAGCTTGCTACTCAAGGAATATTATATAGCCACTAAACAAAATCTCTTGCAATCACCTGAGTGTGAGAACCCGTGAACTCAATGTCAACATACAGTTTCAGTAAATTCCTGACAAGATACTCGAGCGATAACTGATGCCCTTCAAAGAGAGAAGATGTCGCAGAAGAACCACTACAAACAAAAATTGAATTCAGATTAGTGGACCGCATTAATCCAAAACTTGTTGCATTAGCCACACAAATTGTGGATTTCACAGCTTTGTTTCATGGGAAGAAAAATACCTTGAACGAGGCATCCAGCAGTTAAGAACTTCAACCATCTTTGCTCTGAGATACGGGTTTCTTACATATTCTGGACTTGCCATGAACATAATTATGAAGTTCATAAAGTCGTCCTTAAGAAAAAAGAACAACCATCATCAATGCAGGTACAAAAAGCAAATTTCTACCAAAGATGAGATCATACTAAGCATACCAGCAGCACCCCGTCCAAAGCTTTGGGGATTCTTGAAGCAAATATCAGCAACTCCATTGCATCTTCAACAAAATGCTCAGGCATACAGGAGAATTCCATGGGGCAAGTTGCCGGTAAAGGCATCTTAAAGCCGCCAGCTAGTCCAACTAACCAAACAACCACTAGTCGATAGAAAGACAGAGCTCGCTGAATAAAATCTCCATCCTTCAAAACAGCATAAGATAATATAGCTATCACTATCATGTTCTTGGTTCATAGGAAAAGTAAAGATGTTCTCAGAGCAGAGAATATGATTACAAACCCTTAATATTTGGGCCTCATGACAAAGCTTTTCCTGCAAATACAGCTCTAAATCTTTTTCCATTCTGGATATGTCAAGTTCTAACTGTGGAGAAGGTGCTTGATCTCTCATGGCTTTTAATGTTGCAAGATTGTCTTCACCTCTCGAGATGTCCTACGTCATGCGAAATAGAGTTAAGTAAAGAACAATACAATAACTATTTTCTGCAAATCCAGGCTTCGCTACAGTTCCTTCTCGGCATCAATGACAAACGCTTTGTCCAGACACTAAGTCAGCAACCAAGTTTATATAAGAGCTTTCTGCAAGATAATTTATTACAACCGTTTCCATGTTTTCCATAATTCCTTAATATTTCCAGTTCAGGAAAAATGTAATGATGATTACCTGAGCAAGATGTTTAAAGTCAGAGAGTGCTTTTAGGAGACCCAAATTGAGGACCCTTGCAGTCATAAAGAAGCATTCACAAATGAAAGTGTATTTAGTTGTTGACTTTGCATTTTGCCCAGAAGCATTACTACTTGAACTTGTGGCTTCTTTGGATTGTAACAAGCGACTTTCATTCCCGTTTTCTCCCCCAACACCATCAGCTTTTGCCATATTCTCCTTGTCAATCCACTCAGAAACTTCTTCGGATGATGCATGGAGAGCAGTCAAGTCGCTGGTGTGGGTCATAGATAATATTACCCATCATGAAAACATGAAATTCCAGTGAGGAGATACACGTACAATTATCGCAAGGCCCATACCTTAATTTTAAGCGATGACCACAGAATGCATATTTTGGATCAATTTTATCCCTTTTAGTTAAATGCGGGTCTAAAAATGGCTCACAGAGACGGAGCATGACTGCACTGAGGTTAACAAACATGCCTGAGCTAGCACAAGAGACTGGATCCACCTGCAATACAAGATATATATATTACTGAATGCTGGATTGAGCAGAAAAGACAAATACCTATTTGATGAAACCGACAGGAAAAGTATGCGGATAAATGGAAGGATGAAAGAAAGTGATCCGATCGATTGCGTAAAGCCCGCAATAGCAGAGACAATAACAAGGCATGGATACAGATCCGAAGCAAACATCCATCTTAATCAGGGATGTTACCTGTATATGGGCTCTAGACGCATTTGCATTGATCACCTCTGCAAGAAACTGTAGAACACACTCACGGGTATAGGTACTTTTAAGTAAAATCATGAGTACATCATGCAGCCCACTGTACAAAATATTCATGAAGTTTTTAATTGTGGAGAAGGATGATAACAAATCTGCAGGACGACGTTCCGATGATTGAGAGAAACATTGCTGCCTGATATTCACAAAAAAAACATACACATATGTTAGCATTGCCGTAGGTAAAGAATATTCTCTGAGGTATATCAGGAGAACCCTTATGTTTGCACAATTTATCCTTGCCATATGTCAATGCTCACTAAACAGTCAATATTCTTCAGTGCAGACAAGGAAAAATTATCAAAATAATTGATTTCATCCACAGTATTCTAAACCTCACAGAGAGCTAACTATTATTTTCGTCATTATGCTGGATTTGTATAATCATGCTTAATATATACATCACCTATCAGTATCATCTTAACAGCTAAAACATCTGCTTCTTTCCTTTTTCGATCAAGTTTCTACTACGAGTAAAGCTAAACAATATTTCTTATTGTCCTAACTATCTCAACAACTACACAACCTCAAAGATTACAGAATTCCCAGCAATGGAAACCCAAAAATAAGTTTGAACTCACCCAACATCAGGTTGACTCTTGAAGAGAGTATTATCAGGCAGTGCACTAATATGGAAGAAAGGGCCTAGAATGCTAGTCAACTCCATTGCTCGACCGTTCATATAAGCGCCCCGTGGAACCCACCACTCGTGACTAACCAGAGCTTTAGCTCCTACAGGTAAGCTAACAAGATACTTGAGTGCCCTCAACGGTGGCTGGAAATCTCCAAGCACTGATACATTTATAACAGTAGACCTCA